TATAATTCAGGAGTGGGCAAACAGTTTTCTCGATTGACTGGTCGATTTTGGATGATTTCTGGCCACCCCTGCTATAATTGATTTTACAATAGTTTATTTTAGTGTATTTTTTTAAACATTTTATATTGAGCTAAATTTGTCATCCATTCTTGATATTATGGGATATTTGCACCTATGATTCTGTCCATAGTTTTTTTTTAGTGAAAAAACAAGTTCACTTGCTGTTGTGGTAGATTTAGGTTTCTTCACAGGTGCTTTCTATTTTCTATCATAGGTAGCTATATTCCATGTGTATTATTATGCCGTCCATCAATTTGTTTTTATACATTAGAATTTATATTAGTAAACTATCCGTCCAGGAAAAGATGCAAATATTTTATGTCAAAAGTAAATCTATTTGTATTAAGTTTAAATATTGTCTATAAGTAATTTTATTTCAACCAAGTATTAATATTTTGTTATGATTCATTGTGCTGTGTGATACTTAAAATTCTATACAAACATTTATTTTTTTAAATCATTTGATATAAAACATTACATAATTGTGTTCCCTAACTTAAACCAAAATAATTTAACATTTTTATACATAACTTATTATTGAACTATTTTTATATTATGCTCAATAATTATTGAATTAAATTAGTTATTTAATAAATATTTTGTTCATGATTAATTTATTGACTTTATGCTGAATATAAGTAGGTATCTTAAAATATTTTTTTTATAATAGTTTCACGCTTTAAACAGAAATATTATTAATTTATTTAACCTAATAGTTTTAAATTACAATTAATGTAATACATATAAATTATAAGCCATCAGGTTGGCTCCCAAAACGAAATTTAACTTAAAAATTAGTTAATATTTTTAACAAGAAAACATTGTTATTAGTTATCTTTTAAGTCGAGTAATATACGAGGGACGTCCAGAAAGTAAGGTTACAAGGGCTGTATAGGACGAAGGGAATTTTGTTTTTTATAGTTGTCACCACTATCATGTAGAGAATTTTCTAACGATCAAAACAAATCATCTAACGCCTCAGTCCGTTACGAAATGTCGTCACAGCAGCCAAATGCGTCAAACGGTTCGTCCTCCAATCGCTCCACCTACCATAGGTGTGAGATATTTTGAATTTCTTGAACGGTATGAAAGTGAGGGTGAAACTTTTCTTGACTCAATTGTGACTGGTGACGAAACGTGGGTATGTCACTATACTCCCGAGTCAAAAAGTCGATCTCTACAGTGGCGCCATACCCATTTACCATCAACCAAAAAATTTAAAGTCAAATTTTCAGAAAGAAAGATCATGGCCTCCGTTTTTGGGATCGTAAAGGGTTATTATTGGTCGATTTTATGCCTAAAGGAACCACCATAAATACAGCTGCATACTGTGAGACACTCAAGAAGTTGGAAAAAAAAATCAAAGACAAAAGAAGAGGAATGCTGACTCGTGGTGTGTCACTCCTTCATGACAACGCTAGACCTCATACCTCATACCGTCTCACTCAGGACCTGCTTGTTTCATTTGGGTGGGATATTGTGACTCACCCACCCTACTCCCCGGACCTGGCACCATCGGATTATCATCTTTTCAATAAATTGAAGGAGTTTTTGGGTGGACAACGATTTTCAAATGACGAGGAGGTCCAGGACGCTGTCAAAAATTGGCTTCGGGAGGTGGAGCGGAAGGTATACGACGAGGGTATACAAAAACTGGTCCCTAGGCTTCAAAAATGTATTGATCTTAATGGCGATTATGTAGATAAATAATGACATGATTTGACACTTATCTTGTAAATTTCATTTAAATATATCCATTTTTCAATTTTTAACACATGTGGTAACCTTACTTTCTGGACGTCCCTCGTATTATATATTATCAACACTTTTGAGCTATTTGAATGGGCTTACGTATAAATACATTACATACTCTTGTTTTATTTTAATGTATACTTTCATTAGGTATTTAATTGTATAAATATGTAATAAATGTTTTAAATGTTTTTCAAATCTTGAAAACATATTTTTGTAACACAATTTGGTCATTCGACTACATTTTTTTAATGAATATAAATTATATTTTATATTAAAGTACCTAAATAACTTTCAGTTTATAAATTTGTATTTAAATTTATAAACAAAATTTAAAATAATACCTATTAAAATGTTTTTTTTTCAAATAATCAATTTTAGAATAAAATTATAAATTTTATTGTAACCTAAATAACTTAACCAATTGTACCTTTAAAATATATAGTCGATTGACTAATATTTATATTATTATTTGTTACCAAAAATGTGTATAGAAATTTGAAATAATATAGAAATATAAAAGTTGATTATAAGATCTCATATACAATTTTAATATTTTAAGTAAAAGTATCTTGGTTTTGTAAAAAAATTATAAAAAAATATTTAAAACATATCAGATTTGTATTCAATGTTGAATTAGTTTTTTAAAATGAAACAGGAAATATAATTTAATTACAGTGATTTTTGTTATTGTAGATATAATAATATAATCTTTGATTAATAGTATACAATGAAAAAAATAACAGTGTGTAGTATGTACTGTTATAACTAAAATTTAATTTTACTTAAGTATTGTATTAAAACATTATATTAAAATTTTTAGCGATTGTGCTTAGTGGGATTTATTTTACCATCACTTATATTAGCTTATTATGTTATGTTTATTGAAAAGTTACTCAACAGTCAACGTCCATTATGATACAATTAAAAATAGATTATTATTTGACTATTTATTTACTTATTAATGTAGCTTAAATTATGTTGATCTATTATAAATAATAATATAATATCAGGTAAATATAAGTAATATCTTATCAAATATATACAACATATCAGCTAGAATAACTACTGTCTTGAAACTTTTTATTTCTACAATTTCATCATAATATTATTACATATCTTTTTAATTTAGAATCACTTGTTTCTATTATAGAAGCTATTTTGTTTAACATTATTTGGATAGAAGTTCAATTTTAACCAAATACTAATTAGATGTTAAGTCTGTTATTAATTTCTATTATTTATTAATATAATATTATTGTCAAACGATCTGATATCTTTTCCTCTGATTTCCAATTATTTATTTTATAGCCACTGTATTTGTATGCTTGTTAGTTGTCAGAATGTAATTTTTTTTTTTTTTAATTTCCAATTATTTCAAATTATTATATAGTGTTAGGCTTTTATTTATGTAATGTATGTAAAATCCATTTAGTTTTTTTAAAATTATTTTCCGAACAAAAAATGATTATAATGTGTTCAATAATTATAGTATAAATAATTGTAAATTTTTTTTTTAAAGAAATGTTATTTTATTGTTTCATATTTTTATTTTTATTTTATTAAAAATATTTTTTTATGCATTATTTTATGAACGATTAATTAAAATTATAGTTATTTTTATATAATGGTAAAATATATCACATTTTTGTTTATATGTATGTCATTCAATGTTAATATTTAAAATATTTTATATGAAATGATGTGTATTATAAATTAATATATTTTTAGTAATAATTGTTTGGAAGTTCTTGATAATTCATGGAAATACCTATGGTTTTGATCAACAGGGTTTGTTAATTTATATAATATTATGCAACATAAACATTCAACATGTATGGTGAGGAAAATGTGTATTTTGTATGAGCAAATTAGTTCTGCCTGGGTTGTGTGGTTTTTGCTATGGTCATACCTATAGTATGGATATACGCCTAATGCCTATACAGTATATTATGGCGTATATAGTTTTACCATTGCCTGTAAACCAATTTTCAAGGAGAAGTTTATGTAAGTGACAGAAAATAGAATTTCAGCATGTACATTTTCTGACTTAGAAAATATGATGCTAAGGATGTGACTATGAATATTCAATTGATGATGTGCATATAATTGTGTAAAACAAACCTGTACAAGTGGAGAAAAGCAAAGCAAACCAAGTGTACCAATTAAAATATTAAAATAAGTCATGTAGCAATAATTAGTTATAATATTTTCAATGAGGTTGTAATCAGGCTATATTTTAGTTACACTACGTCATTACGGTTCCTGTCATGCATCCATTTTTCCGTCTTCTCATAATATATTGCGATATTCTGTGATATTGTGATACATTGTACATTTTAAAATAATGTTGTTAATTGTCATCCATTTATTCAATTTAATCAACCTTTTCATGCCGACACTGTACATTTCATGGTATACCTACCATGATTTACTTTAATCATATTATGGTGACAGTGTACCTCGTGTACCGTAATGCAAAGTTAGGAAACTTTGGTATATATCATAATATATATTATTTTTGATGTCAACATCCTTTTTTCTCAATGAATACTGTACGTCTATACCATATTCAATAATCTGCACACCAAGCGATGTGCTTCCGTTTCTGACATAGCTCTATTACCTACTTTGTGTTAAAATGCTTTGTTTTGTTAAAAACTACGTTTAAATGACACAAAAATTACCCATTGGCCAAGGTCTCTAATGGATACGCATCTAACAAACATATTTTTTTGCCATTACAACAAAAAACAACTACAGAATGTAGTAAATAATCCCTTCTTCAAATGAATTTTCAGATATTCAATATTAAAATTTGATAAAAAAACACCTAACGTACGACCTACTCTCTATGGTTTTCAGAACTTATATACAAAAAATAAATTTTTTCACAAACCTCAAGGAACGCTTTATTATTTAGCACGCCTTTCAGTGGCGTAGCCAGGATTTTTTTTCGGGGGGGGGGCTGATCAATTTTTTACACAGCGGTGGTTTAGTAATATACAATAAATTATTTTACCTGTATTATTTATTTAAAAAAACAATAAAAATAGTAATCAATTTTCTTTTCAATTGGACATAATTTAGTATAATAACATTTTATATAATAAAACAAACTCGAATTTAATAAACATGAATATAATATGATGAATAAAAAAAAATTAACAATATTTATTTACAAAAAATTAAAGTGACAATTTTAACCTTCGAGCCTTTCCGCTGTTAGCAAATTTGTCCAATATTTGATCATCTGAAATGTCAATATCTCTATGAATGGATAGTAGTGCGAGACCGACAAGTCTTGACTCTGAAGTTGAATTTCTAAGGTAAGTTTTTAGTCTTCTCAAAGAAGAAAAACTCCTTTCTGCAGTAGCAGTCGATACAGGTAGTACTGATATTAACTTAAGGAGTTGATACATGTTTGGAAACATATTGCTGTCACAGTTGGTTAAGGTTTCAATTGCATTTAATGGTCTGAACTTTGGCCCAACTGTTTTCCACTTAGACTGCCATAATGTAAATTCAGCTTCAATAATATCTTGATAACCTGGTAAATCGTCTTCATGAAATTGAACAGCCGGTCAGGGCCGTATTTAGGGATTTTTCGCCCCCGGGCACAATATTTATGGCGCCCCTTTCCAACACATTTTTTTTAATACCATAGAAGTGGTGGCTAAATTTTATTTTTTTTGGGGTGGGGGGGCATAACATTAATTCATTTTTTATGTTTCCCTTTCTCATTGAAATTTAATTTGCAGTTAATTTTTAGCAATTTTAACTAGGTACCTATGCATTCCAATATTAGATTTTTAACAGTAGGTAAACTATACAAAAAAAACATGAGTAACTAGTTTATAACTTAGGTCTTAGGTACTATCTAACTAGAATCTTCCATGATTCAAATAATAAAGAATGATATACAATTAATAATATGTACTATAATATAGTAATATAATAATATTTATTGTTTATTTTACAATTTTTTTCTTGATTGAATATCACCAAAATGATCTATAATATCTTAATATTTAATTTGTTTTGTTATTTCTGATTCAATATTTAATATTGCATGTAAGTTTAATCTCTCTTTAGAAATTGTTGACCTTAGGTAGTTTTTATTCAGCGTAAAGTTGAAAATGACCGTTCAGCGGTACAGTTTGAACAGGGAGTAGGTACATAAAAACATGTGTAAGCAAAGCAATACTAACACACGGGTAAATGTCTTCTGATCCTTCTATTTTTAACATAGAACTCATATCAATTATAGTTGATGGAGAATTTTTCATACTTTGAATATAACTTTGAAAATGAACACATTCGTTAATAAATGTTACATCCAAATCTTTTGTATACATTGAGTACAAATGTTCAGCTAAAACACGTACTTCTGATGGTTTTATCTTTGTGAGTCTTAAAAAAAAACTATACTTTGTTATGACATTATCGTAAGATAACTTTCGACTTGTTGATTCTTCTATTATAGAATCACAAATCACTAAATATGTGTTTACTTTGAATTCCAAACTATGGTTTCTACTTTCTCACTATGCTCTTCTCTTTTAAGTTTAAACATGGTATTTATTTCGTTTGTTTTTCTTATAACTTCATTAGGTTTTTCCTTCTTTTTTTTTGCCTCCTTACCATTGCATACACCACTAGCTTTGACTCTTTTTAGCTCCATTAAAGTATAATTTCAACTAAAAAATTGTTATGACACAATTAAACTTATCTAGTCTTACTTATTAATTATTATTTACCTACTTGCCACTATGACTAAATTACTGCATTCAATTCTTATATATATAATGTATAAATATATAAACATATAAATATATCCAATAATTGTATGCAGATTTGCAATGTAATTTAAGTGAACCTAAACTGTGTAATTGTAGTGTACCTACCTTAACTGGCACAACCTTACAATATCAATTATAAAGTTGAATGTTTTAATATTATTACAAATAATATAATTATAATATTAATATTTTATTTTATATAACAATTCAAAAAAAAGTAAACTCTTATTTCTATTATATTAGTTCACTTATTGAGATTTAAATTATGTAGTACTTATACATACTAGTAGTAGTACACTACTTATGTATAATTATGTACGGTCGTACGGAGTACGTAGTCACTGACATAAAGAGTTTAGCAAGTTGTATAATATGAAATGACACAAATGTATTTTAGTAGCCAGTAAATAAGTACAATCGATAATCCTGATTTGCCAATACGGGCCAACGCAGTTATACTATACGTCTAGTTTTACAGTTTACTAGTAAAAATAAACCCACTAATATTTAATAATGTTAGGTACCTACCTAGTACCTACTTAGTTAATAACGTTTATTTCTCTTTATTTAAAATGATAAAATATAGGTAAAAAAAAAATGTATGCATATGTGAATTTAAAAAATAAATAATAATTATCATTTTTTTAGAAATCTTTCTGACTTTCTCTTTACGAAAAAAATTAATTTTTTGTTTATTTTATCTGAGATCATTTTGCCGCCCCCGGGCAATTACCCACCGGTGCCCCCCCTTAAAACCGGCCCTGGTTACATAACTTATAAATTATATTATTAATATTATTTATCATGGTTTTTACTTGATCCAAATATGTCGGAGTAATATAATATAATATCGTAGTAATATATGTTCGAAGTAATTGATATCGGAGCAGTATTATGGTTGACAATAAAAAATTTTTTTCGGAGTTATACAAGTTCATAGTAGTATATAGTCGTAGCACTGGTGTTATCCAACAGTAGGTACTGTAGCTAGGTACTAGTTTTTATCATACCTTGTAATGTATACTTATTACTTCTTGAAAACATTATATAATTATAAATGACAATTTAATAGAATATTTTGTATTTTCGGACTTAGTCGTCCGAGTGAGTCTATAGTTATATTACCCTGCTAATTTAAATAAATATGTACACAGCCATAAATACCCATAATATTATGATATTATTTATTCACAAATTGAGTTTACTGTAATTATAATTTTACTCATTACGACGAATAAGCTTTTTAAATATTGAAATAATTATTATAAAATTAGTATTTATATTATTATCATGTGAATTATTATAATGTGTAAAACCACATATTATGTAATGTTTATACATTCAAACAGTGTACAGCGATACATAATTTAATACAATTAATATACAATACTTACATAATATTATAGATGTACAAAATGGTATACTGATTCCGAATACGTACAAATATGCTATTTAATATTTTATTACACATCACAACTCATACGATCAACTGCGAAAAAGTTTTACTTCCCCTGCACGAAGGTACTACAAACACACTCTATTTTTTTTTATTTATTATTTTATTTATTTATTTATAAAAAATAATGGGCCCCACTGACTGGTTTTAAAAAAAAACATTACAAATATTGTAACTATGGGCAGCGTATAACTGTTTAGTTCTTATTAAATCAGTAAATATATTTTTACATCATTCTCTGATTATAACACAGTGAAAAATTGTCTTATATATTGAAATTATCCTATATCAGATTATCATTATGTCTTATATCACAGAAGTGAATAATTCGTCCGAAGCCCAAATGCAGTCCGCTGCTGAAATAATGAAACAGGTGTTGGACGATCTCCGGCAAAATCGCCCTAAAAGGTTTCAAGACAATGATCTCACCAGTTTAAAACTGCATCGACGATATAAATCGTTACCCGACATGCCAATTTCCGCTAGCGAAGACGTTCAGATCGATTTGCAGTCCTCAACCGCTTTGATGATGCAAGTTTTCAGTGATCTACGTGAAAATCGTCAGATAGCGGTCGACGTTAGTAGTGTCAAGATTTCAAAGGCTCAACGATTATGTAAATCGATGCCCGATATGGCATTCCTAACAAATGCCGAAGTTGATGCACCTGATGCTATGCCGTCCACGGAAATTACCGTTTCACTGGATTCATTGTATGCGGAAACAACTAACAGTGCAGTAATGACACCCGTCGCTGCAGAACTTATCGACATCGACACGATGTTGTCCGTCTCGACAACTTTCCCACTGGTTAAGCCGGTCGAATCCGACCCTAGACGGTTTAGTCCCATACTGAAAGTGGCACCACAGTCAATTGGGGATGCAGAATCGAAAAATGGTTTGACAAAACCTTTGGACCTGGAGACCGCCAGTTTACAGGAAATTGTATCCCTTTGCGGTCGTGGAGATGCTGCAGAAATGGAAACTACAGTAACAGCCGCCAGACCTAAACGTCGCTCACTATGGAGCCGAGTGAAGAGATTCGCTCGGCGAATGGTTTGCTGTGGTGCTAACAGCGACATACACCATTAGGTGTATAGGTAGTTTTTTGAGGAGTGTTTGGGCACCGGTTTGAAAGTTTGTTTATTTTGCCCCCTCACTTATCACGTTTATGGCGCCAGTGTAGTAAGTCACCGTGCACGATCATCCCGAGTTCGCTCCAAGAGTTTGTGTCCGGCTATATGCCTATATACATATATAAAACATATATAAATATTGCTATAAAACCGTAATCGTGTATACATTAACACTAATAAACGTTTATGCTTTGTAATTTATTTGGTTTTTATTTTATATCATTATTAAGAGTCGACACGCTGGTGTAAATTTAATTTATGTGACTGGTGGAAATCGTGTTTATATATTGTACTGGTAGAATTTGGGTTTGTTGTAACTGGTGTATAAATCACACGAGGGACCTTGTATTGAATGCTTAGACTCTTTGACTGATAACCAAAACATTTTATCAACAAGAAACGTCGAAAAAACCAAAAAGACTGCTATTTTATGAGAAGAACGATGTTTAATAAAGATCTCCAAGGATATTTTGATATTTCCACATTTCTGAATAATTTTATATTTTTTTATTGAGTATTCAATTTTAGATTATAGTTCTGTAATATAGAATCCCCGTCAATATTGCTTAGTAGCCCTCATTAAGGTTGTATCGTTAATAATATTATAATGTACATTCTATAATCAAATTATCTAATAAATATAATATTATGCTGTATATATGTACTGGCATCAAAATCTTCTATAGGTTGTAATATAATATTAATATTACCAACAGATTCAATACGAGTAGGTATACTTGATGTATAAGAATATGATAGTTGGATATTAAATATTAATTTTAACTTAGACTCTAATATTATTTCATACAGTTTGAGACGGTTTGGCAGTCTGGATATTGTATATTTTTATTATTTATTATAGCCTGTAAGTTGAATATTATTTGTAATATTATTATTAGATTCTGAGCGGGGCGAGGAAGCCGGTGGTTTTCCATTGGTGTTTATTTTTTTTTTGTATTCTGTATACAACATATTCTACCAGAAGGAGGGCCCGAGGGCTTCGATTTAAACATAATATAGTATCTTATCTTTTTAGAAAATTGGATCAAGATGGTACTTTAGAGTGGTAATTTTTCGACTTTCTCAATAGTTATTTAATGACACAGGAAAAACCACCGACAAATTACAAATAGACATATTGCTCAACTAAGGAGGCTGGATCGAGAAGTGGAGTGGCTATGCACTCTCAATAGCCTCCCTCCCTCTTAAATAAATTATTCTCTGAAGTTCAGAGATCTTCAGTTCTATTGACATAATCACAACAAATTTGGGAACTAGGTATATTAATAATTATCGATCGCTGTAGCTATATTGCTATAAATACATTGATTGTTTAAATAATAAATTTCAAACAGCATAATTATTATACTATAATAATATATACAATACTATTATACTAGATTATATTATATAATACTGTTATAAAAATAATTTAAAGTATACAATTTTAAAAAATCATAAGTAAAGACCACAAAATGTTGGCGCCCCTAAAATACTGGCGCCCGGGGCAGTTGTACTCAGTGCCCCCCCCCTAAATGCGGCCCTGCAGCCGGTTTTAAACACGAAAAGGGGTTATCAACAGCCAAAGACGGCAATACATACTGTAATGACTTTATAGTACAGTCGATTCCGCTTAATAGAGACACCGGTTAATAAGGACAACCGCTTAATAGGGACAATTCTTCAATTACAAAAACAAATGTATACTTGTAGGGTAAACATTCACCGCTTATTTGGGCCACGAATCCGGATAATTGGGACATTTTTATCGAGTATATTAATAGATCAATAGTTCAACAATCGTGACGGACTCTCGTAATCGATTATTACATTACATTTTATCTTATTTAACTTTATTTTATCTTATCTTTTATCGTATGTTCAAATGTGATAAATGTTAAATTTTATTTGGTGCATCAGTCGTGTTTGTCGCGTGTAGCAACGATGGCTCGTGTACGTAAAGATTTATCGTTTGCTCAAAAATTAGAAATTCTGGACAAAATTAAATTACAGCTACCAGGCTGTAAATAAGCTGTAACACATGTCGTCTTTCGGAAATTTTAGGAGTATCAAAATCAACAGTTTTTTTTAAATAAGATAAAATGCATAATAAAAAAATAAAAAATATTTATATGTATGTATTTTTATAAATAATTAGGTTATATCATGTTTTTATTTTTGTACTAGGTATCAAATAATTTCTATAATACATTGTTTGTAATTTGTAATAATAAAAATATATAAAACAAATCAGTTTTTCAACAAATTTATATGTTCGTTTTTGTATTTCGGATTATTGGGACAACCGCTTTATTGGGACAAAATAACACCCAACCGATGTGTCCCAATAAAGCGGAATCGACTGTATCTTTATAAGATAGAAAACGTTGTTTTAGTGAGCAAAGCAAATCATCTAAGTATGAAATAAATATTGTACGTCTGTAAAATTCTTCAATATCTTTAAAAGGCACATTATTTCGATTTTTTTGTCTACCACAAATACGTGGCATAGTTTCATTAACATTTGACAAAACTGAAATACTTTTTACTCCCTCATAAATTTCATGAAACTCGACATTTGAATTTTCTCTAATATCTTGAAGTTTCTTGGAGACTTCGGATACACTTTCAAATGCGTTTACTAAATCTATATTCTTAGTTTGTAATTATACATCTATTCCATTATACGATTAGTGTAAAGTCAATAATTCATAAAGATAAGAACAGTCGTCGCCCGTCGGGTGTCTGTCGCTAATCACTTACAAATATTTATTTATAGATTTTACCATGAAACCGGCCTATGGACAATGTTATATAGTAATATATGCATTAATAACTACTAGCACGGCCGAAGCTATAGAAAAATAATAAAATAAAGATGACAATTTAAAATTAGTAACATGTAATTTAAGACTTTTTGATCGAATATCATAGACGACATAGACCATTAAAATAATAAATAATAATAAAATAATTTTTAAATTTTCTTAACTTTTCGGGGGGGGGGCTGCAGCCCCCTCAGCCCCCCCCCTGGCTACGCCACTGGTCGCCTTTAGCAAACGTCTTTTGAAAGTACCAATAATTAAACTATTTTGGACTTATGGAATACAACGGTGGGGTTGTGCCAGTAATTTCAATATTGATATTATTCAACGATGCCAAAACGTAGGTCTCCATACTATTATAGCATAGGTACGAGGTATCGATACGACAGAAACTTGTGGATAACTTCACTCGTATTTTAATAACAATTTTTATTCCAATTCTCTATCAATCAGTATTTGGTTAAATATTATATGAAACTATCTATTATCTTCAAAATTACGTTCGAAATTAAATTTACACAATATTATATTGTGGACATAAAATCAGGCATTTTATTAAGTACCAAAAAAATAGTCTACGATGTATTTATTGATATTTAAACTACAAAATATTTTTCATATATAGTGATTTTAACGAAAGTGTAAACATTTGAACTTTAAAAGCTTATAAAAAATTGTTCTTATGTATTTTCAATAATTTTAAAATGCTATAAGAAAAATATATAAGAAACCTTGTAGTACATTTTCTTAGGTTATTTACAGAGAAAAATATTGTTAGTAACATCAAATAGAAAACAAAATGTTAAATATTTGACAATTTTAAATGTCTATTAATTTTGAGATGTGAAATTTACCTACCTACCTACTTAATATACAAGCTTGTTTTAATTTACCCGTCCCCAAAGATAAACTCTCTTAGACGGGATGGTTTATTTATTCCAACTCTCTATTTTGTTTTGAACCATGTCAAATGGTACCGTATTTGTTACAGTAAGTTGTCAGTAAGATTTATTTTTTGGCGATGGTTTACCTATTAGTAGGAATTTTTTTAATTGTATGTCTATCTATTAGGATTATTTTAATTATTCTGGTCACGCCAGGAGTCAAAGTTAGAATGTTGATGTTTTTATTTTTTATTTGTGTTGAATTTACGGCGAGCGACGGAGAAAAAATGTTTTATATTTATTTTTTGCATAATGCAGAGGGTAAAGTTTTTCACATATAGCTTACTATTAATGTTACGAGCCAACTTTGGATTGGCTAGTACGTCGGGACGGCTGAATATTATATTAGCCTAGACTGCTTATAGTGACTATGACTGTCCATGATTTTACATTACTTGTTTATTCTGTGCCACATTTGTGTAGAAGGACGAGCTGTTAAACCGTCATCAGATAATTTTTTGTGTGTTGTACAAAGTAGTCTCATTGTATAGAGGAACGCTATTTTATTATATGTTGCATAACATATTTATCCAAGTTACATTGTTATACTACTGTTATAGGTATGTGAACTCAAACGTTATTACAAATCTATTCGATATAATAATAATAATAAAATAAATAAAAACTCGACGCCCTCAGCCTTTTTTCTTGTCTGATTTATTTGTTTTTATTTACTTTAAGGTAATTGATGTTATATTGTTACATTTACTACCTAAGTAATATCAGCAACAAACATACATTTATATAATCTAATTCATTTCAGTGATACACAGCACAATATTTCTGTTATATGAATTAAAATATAATATTCCTAATAAGAGTTAAATTCCATCCAACATGTGAGGTTTAATGTATTTAATATAGATTCTTCATTTGCCACTCACTTGATTTTTTAACATACTGTCAATCGGACAATCACTGTCAAATAATACGTTGTTTATTCTTTTGTAGATAGGGGATTTTTGTATACCCGAATAAATACTGGAAATGGATTCAAAACAAGAAAAACAATACATTTTCAATATGAAGTTGGCACGAATTATGGGCTTGTATCAAATTTTAATTCCAAGTTCATTTTCAATCTTTGGTTACAACATATATCACATTATTACTGTGTTTTTTGTATCATTCACGTTCGCCATATCGATGTTGTTCCCAATTGGTTTGCTATATTTAAGAAATGATATAATTGCGATAATGTACTACATGGGATGCATAAGTAATTTCCTATTATCCTGTTTCAAAATGGTCAATATCCTCTATCATTCCAAGGATATATGGAAATGCATTGACGTTACAAGCTTTAACTATATTTCGTACAAAAACTACGATAGAAATGTGTTTAAAAACTGGCAATCACGGTCTATACGTGTTACGTACATATATATTGTAATAGCGTTATTCGCTTTTTTTTGTTGGATTTTTAGTCCATGTATTATGAATAAATCTGTTATTGCTATTAGAAATATTGACGGTTCATATAGCAAATACCGAATGAACATTTTCAATTTGTATTTAATAGCATCAAATGAAACATATAACAGAAACTTTTACATATTCTATGTTATCGAAATAATAATTAGTATTTGCTATGTATATTTTACTATAGTGTTTGATGTTCTTATGCTTTTGGTATGTTTCGCAATATCTTACCAATTGGAAACAATTAGTAATACAATCAAATCACTTGGCCACGAAATACGTACGAGGGATATTATGAGTGAGTACAAGGTTTATTATTTACTATTTAATACAAATTAATTGTAATTATTATAAAAGTAATATTAAAGTATATTTATATAATATTTTGTGAAAATATTTGTGTTGCTATCAATATCTAATTATCGTTATAAAGATATATTTTATAAGGTACCTATTAGACATTAGTCAGTGTAGGTATTTATAATAATTGTAAAATATTCACAGGGACTAGTAATTCAATAAAATTAAAGGAGAAACATGGCATATTATATAATGATTTAATAACGATAATGACAGACCATCAAAACGTTCTAAAGTAAGTGATATTTTCGTTTATTTATGAATTTATAGCTCATGATTTCAATAACCCAAAGCAAACCAATGTTCTGGTTTTTAACTAAAAAAAAAAATAACGAGTTCGGAAGAAATGTACAGACATTTTTTTTCAAAATTAGTTAGTTTTTTAATAATTATTTGATTTGTTTGTATTTCTTACAGAAAGTTAAATGATTTTTATAACATATTCCGGTCAATAACGCTAACTCAAATATTTATAGCTTCAAGCTCACATGTACTTATTTGGTCTATTGCTGCAATGGTATGATAGTCAACTAAATTAAAATTATTCTTTAAGATTACGACCTATATAATATTATATGATATTTTAGAAATTTTCAAGCTAATTCTTCAATGTTCCAAGAAAATAATTATTGTATTCATTAAGATATAGATTCTGAGTGAAACGATGAACGTATTAATTTTAGAATGATGTGTGTTTTTTTTTAATTTTTAATTTTTAAATTAATTTTTTTATTTTGTGTCTGTCATCACCTTTTAGGACAGAAAAATGCTTAGATTTTCTTCAACAGTATCTTTTTTACGCAAAAACTGTTTTCGAGAAAATTGATTTTGGTTTTTGGTGCAACTCTTAAAATGACCGTAGATACATGAAATTTTGACTGAATGTTTATATTAGAATTTTCTATACACTATAACATTTTCTAAATATTTTGACCTATTTTGAGCTTTTTACGGACATTTTCATTTTCCATTTTTTTTAGTTTTTTTTCTATAAATATCAATACAATTTTATTTGTTAGTTAAAAAAAGCTCTAAAATGTAATAGAAGGCTCCTAGTATATTATTTCAAAGGCAGATGAAAAAATTAAAAATCCATTGTCACAAGGTTCCACCTAAATAGGTTATATATAAGTTACTTTATTCACAATAATATTATCAAATATACTTAGTAATATCATAGGCTGACTGACTGTTTTCACTCAGAATCGTTTTTCTTATACAATGATATTATATCATTGAGTTCAAATTTAACACCATCCATTACAGTGACCCACTTGTAACCTACTGTACAGAAGAGCGACATACACTTGCCCACCTTTTTTACTATTGTAATTTAATTTTTATACCTATTTTTTTTCTTTTTCTTTTTAAATGGATTATGCCCATTGAATTAAAAATATAAATTAACAATAGTTTCAATAGTTACACAATTTTAATGTAGAACGATAAGTTTAAGAACAGTAAAACATTTTATGAAGTAGAGAATTAAATATCACTGAGTGTGAAATCACAAAACTTAGGCACCTATATAGTCAGATTTGTAGTGGTTAATTAAAGGAGATCCCTTTACCACTTTCGTTTTAAACATAATAATATTCTTAGTGTATATACTATTACAGTGTCGAACAGACATGTTTGAGTATTTTGGATTAATAAAACGTTTGGACAGATTTTCTTGTTTTATTTTTGAAAATCATAGTTTGTAATTACCTATGTCTGAATTGATTAAAATACAGATTTTCTGAATTTAATACATATTATAATATCATACAATATGTGTGTAAATATAAAATATATAACACTAAACATAAATTACTTATAGTTTACATTTTATAGAGTTTTGATGAAGGTGATAATGCAGATTCAATATTGTCATTTAAGCTATTCATCGTACTCCCTCTGATAAATTTCCAACTATTTATGACGTGTAGTTTATTTGGAACTATAAATGAAAAAGTAATTATAAAGTTGTTACATACATTATTTAATGCTTGTGTTATTATAAAGAAATTTTAATTAAAATACTTAATAGAGACTTTATTACTAATACAAATTCTGCATATATGGATATATTTGATTTAATCTAAAATGTCGTGATGTTTTACTATTCAGAAAGATTCAATAATTTTTGCATTATATAGCAGTAATTGGACTAATATGGACTTAAAAAGTAAAAAGATGATTTTGTTCAATTTGACAATAAATAATGCCAACCAGTTAAAAATGAAGTTTACAAATACCAAAATCGTCAACTTGGAAATGTTTAGTCACGTAAGTATAACAAAATATGTAATAAAATAAAATAAGTTGTCTTATCTGCATAATTATGAAAGATTATTCGTGATATTATAATTTTAAAAATAATTTGGTGTTTTTGAGCTATTTATAAGCATTTTAAATTATCGATTTATTTTGAGAACTTTTTGGTTTCTAGATTATAAATCTTGAACTTTTAACACAATGTTGCTATTTAGTTATTCCTATAGCAGTTGAATATATCGTAAATATTAAAGTCACACATTTTTTTTCAAGCCTTTGAAGCTCAACATTTGAAATAACGTTTAGAAACGTGTTTCCGTTTTAATTTTTTTTAAAGTACCTCTATACTAAACATACTAAACATACAAAAATATATATATTGTAAATTATTTTATTACTCTGACAATAGGTGAGACGTATTCATCAATATTAGATATCTACCTATCGGCTAACAATATAATAACATCAATTTAAAATTATACATATTTTATCATTAAAAGTAGGTATTAAAGTAAAATAATATTATCAACATATGTATACAAATATTCATATTATTGTTTGAAAAAAAATGTGATTTTAAGTTTATGATTATATAATAATATATGTATAAGTATTGATGAATTGATGTATAGGTAGTTATTATGTTAGGTAAATGTTTAAATCATTAAATTTAACAAATACATTTAACTAATATTACATTATTTTTTTCACAGACGATGCGCTTTTGTTACTCAATATTTTCAATGTTAATTAATTATAATAAAAAAATAAAATGAAATAGAATTATGATTGTTTAGTAATTCATTTGAGTTTTGTTAAAATATTAGTAAGTAAATCATATTTTATTAGATTTATTTAATTTGTATGTATTATTATTATTATTTTTAAAATTGTATATTTAGTTATTTAATTTTAATTAATTTACACGGTTCCTTATTGATTATTTTATCTGTAGTTATATAGGTACCTATATTATGTTAATGGTTTCTTATTTACATTATTTTACCTAAACTTATTACATTAATATTTAGAATTACTAGTAAGATAATAGTTTTTACCACCAAATTTATAAATGTATTTTTCGATTTCCCGATGAACAAGTTAATATTATTATTTAATAGTGACACCTGCTTGGGTCCACAGCACTTCCGGTAGTTGCAGCACTGCCTTTGACCAGGTGTTAAGGTCAATCACTCTATTCTTATGGTCAAACTACGTTTATATAGAATTTAAGACCCTTCATTGTCTTTGTTTAGTTCCTATCTAGCAAACAGATCAAAATAAGTAAAAGTAAATGGTTTTTTGTCTGATCGATTTCCTTCTTTCCCCGGTGTCCCCAGGGAGGGCACCTTTATTGTTTTCCATTTTCAATTTCTGCGATAATCAACTCTTTGCTGACGATCTAACCTCTAAATCTATAATACGCTGATATATCGTCAAGTGAAGACCCTGGTAAAATGCAAGAACAGTTTTGTAGGCTTAGTATTTGGTGTCTTACAAATGGTTTAAAATTAAATAATCAAAATGTGTTAACAAATAATATGTTGTTTTACAGTTCTATTAAAAAATTAGATTATAATGAGTACCTACTTAGCTACTTCATTCTTGGTGATCGCCTTTGAGATGTTGGAGTCACATTTCAGCATAACCTTATGTTTTCCTCTTAAGCACAAATTTGAACTAAAACTAATAAATGTTGGTTTTCTTATTAAGACTACAAAAGAATTCAAGGATGAGATCTGTCTCAAAACATTTCTCATTTGTCGCAAATGGGTTTGATTGAATCACTTGAGCTAGTTCATTGATGACTTTTACTTTATATTAGCTACAATTTGTGAAATACTGGTGATTTTTCTCCTTTTTTTCATCTACATCCTTAAAAATTATTCAAGAGAGTCTTAACTTAGAATGTCTCGATACTATATAAGCGTAGACTTACTTACATGTACTTCAAGTCTAAACTTTCAACTAGACCATATATTGTCCTAAGCTACCGGAACTTAAACAATTTTATGTCTTTTATTAGTTATTACCAGTTTTCTCAATAAAACCTACCACACATGATATGAATATAATAACCATATAAATCGCATCTCACATGAGCGCAACAAATTAAATAATTTCGTTTTTTTCAATTCAAAAAGCATGCTATTCCTAAAGTAATTATGTTAAAATGTCATCATTATATGAACCTGCCACCTACCAATATTGTACTTGTAAATTTATTTTTGTTATTAATGGTAATACTTAAGTCCATTTCATGTTATTTTTAATTATATTGTATATTATATGTACATGTGCTTGAGCCCACACAGGCGTTTATAATTAAACAAATTAAAAAAAATCAGGATTTTTTCGATATTGCACGTTGATACTACTTTTTAATAAACTTAAAACACGCAATTTACTTAAGACTTAAGCTCTTAATGTATTGTTTGAGTGAACTGAGTTATAAGTAGTCACTTCATTTATAATCATAAACCAATATTCGTATGGCTATTAAAAATGTCAGGTGCGCCTTATATTATTATACCCATATTATACCCAACTTGTCTTGGTTTCATTCCTTTATAAACGTTTAAAATACTAAAGAAATTTTACTTGATTAAAAAAATAATGTTTTTAAAGAACAAAAAATAAAATTTGTCATGCTAAGTAAAGTTTAAAAATTGATTTATCCTTCCTTTTAAATGTTGATGTAATTAGTTGTCCTAGCAACAAAAACTGTTATTTAAAACTTTAAAAATAAAACGAAAAATAATGTTTGTTTAATTAATAGTTAATGTAGGATTATTAATTATTGTTAACAGTGTTAGCGTGATTAAAATATGTATAGGTGTTTCACTCCACCCATTTTTCATTTTCAGTCGAATTCAAAGTTTATTAAACCTTATTTGAAAACCATGACCTACTATAGTGCTATTAAATTTCAAAAACATAAATATACATTACGGTATATCTAATGTAAAATAGCGAGGTTGTTTTAATTGGAGTTATGGTATTTTTAAAATTTAATTTATAAACTGTTCATTCGTTTTATTAAAATATAAGACACATTATAATATTATATTAGGTATACATATTACAATATATAATAATAATTGATCAATAATCATGTATAAATAATGTTATGGACTCGTGAAATTCACTTAACTTTTCTTAATGTCAAAAACTCATTAGTCGAGGTATATTTGTTAAATATTTCCTAAAAATGTTGACTATGTTTGAAACACGAAAAACACGTTAATTACTTAAGAAAATATAAACAAATTAAAATTTTTTTATGTCTTACATTTTTTTTTTTTGAAAGGAACACCATGTTACTGTGTTTTAACTATTCATTATTAGATATGAAAAACCTTTGCTTTGTTTTGTTTATTTTAGATTCAATTAAAAAAAAGTGGGTTAGTGGATGTCACCAGTGGCGTCATTTCAGTTTTTATTAGACCAGGGCAATTTTTCACTGCTTTTCCGACTCAACATTTTTTTCACTCGGATTCTTATAGCATAGTGCAATATAGGTTAACGGGGGGGGGGGGGGGGGGGGGGCGTGTGGTAAATGTGCCAACTTAAGGTTGATGTAAATACTATAGAATGGGGAAAATGCCCCAGTTGCCCCCCCCAAATGATTCCATTGGTGTACCTCTGCTGTAGAGACGTACAGTATATGTTACAAGTGATTCACTGTATAATGGATTGTATTAAATTTGAATTCAATGATTTCATATCATTGTATACGAAAAACGATTCTGAGCGGAGATGGTTTGTCAGTTTGAATATTTTATACTGTTAATTGTTAGTAAATAGTTATTTTTATTCGCTTCTATGGTGATAAATAAAGCGTAAGAAATTAAAATCCCATTTTTAGAGGTTTTTTGTAATTTGTCGGTGGTTTTTCCCATGGCATTAAATATCTATTGAGAAAATCGAAAAATTACCTCTTTAAAGCACAATCTTGATCCAATTTTCTAAAAGATAAGATAGGTACTATGTGTTAAATCGAAGCACTTCTTCTGGTATAAATTTTGTATACAGAATGAAAAAAAAATAAAAAATAAAAAAATAAATACCATTGTAAAACCAATTATAAAGTTCTTAATAAGTTGTTATCATAGTAGTTGAAAATTCATACCAACAATTTTTTAAGGTTTGTAAAAATCAAGAAAATGTTCTAATTATTTTGTTGTTAAAAAACGTGAATTTTGGATTTTTAGTGGAGTGATGAATCATGAATGTGTTATTTTTACAATAAAATATGATTTTTTTTCAAAATAATCGATAGAAACCAAATAAAAATTAAGGAAAAACATTATTAATATTTGCACAACTTTATTTTTCGTTATTTTTCTTCTTTGTTACCTTGATGATTGATTGTATAAATTTTTCTTATCCTAGACAACCAACGAATAAAAATATCATAACTATTGGTAGGTACTTAATTAGAATTTTAATCTAAGTAGGTACACGAAATATTTTTATTTGTAATCTTGAGCGACTTAAGCTATATGTTCAAGTAAAACTGTAGGTACTATTCGTAACACGTCATAGAATCTTTGAAATCATTCTAGATATTAAAGCCGGAGAAGTCGCTGTTCTCTACATTAGGCTTTGAGTGTACCTCTTCATTAAGTAGGCCAAAGTATTAGTGCAGTGGATCAGTTAAATTTGAATTAAACAGTAAATCATTTCATCCAATAAATGATTCTTTATGGAGATATTGTGCCTCAGCCACCATTTTTAAGGAATAGTAAAGATATCTTAAAATGTTTTGATATGACTATGAATAATTTATTTTTGTTATTAGACCTAGGTAAAATACTTTTTAAAAGTATTTCAAATACATATTCCGAAAACTTAAAAAAAAGTATTGAATATGTATTAGAATTTAGAATATAAATTCGAATACTTTATGATAATAATATAGTTCACAAAAAGTATTCCAAATATTTTTCGAATACTTTCTTTTAGTATATTTAGATTTTAATAGCAAAAATATTATTTTTTTCAATTCTGTGTTTACAAAAGAACATTATTATAATCTTGATAATATACACCTATCTGACTAACTATTATATTTAATACTATTATATTTCTTTTAACCGTATCATTATTATAATTAATATATTTGTAATAGCACCTGGTGTGCTGAAACATTTTCAGAGAATAAATAAAAAAAAAAAAAACTATTAACTGTAAATTATATTCAAATTAATAAAATTAATAAGTAATATTTAGTTATGTATAAGAGTATACCTAAATAAGAAAAAAGTATTCCGAATACTGTACTCAGAATACTTATAAAAAGTATTCAAAATACCGTAATGAATACTTTTAAAAAGTATTCGGAATACTTAAAAAATATTCCGGATACTGTATTCGGAATACTAACCCAGTCTGTTTGTGACAGTATTCAATAGGTTGCTGGTTGAAGTTATTTTTGTCAAACAAATTGCATAAATTATAATTATTTTAATACTATTTGTGTATATAATCATATATTATTGTTAAAAAATAAAAGTTAATATTGGTGTAACGTAGGACGGTGTGAATAGGCTCGAGGTATATTATTATTTGTAAATCGTAAATAATATTTTAAGAACTTTATTTTAATTGTATAATCGATGTATGATACTATGACATTGTGGAAAATAAATTTAATAATTTAATGGTAAATGTACATAATTAAAAAAAAAATTGAATAAAAGTTTTAATTTTTATAAATAAGTTAATATAATACTCATAGTTATAAAATTATACAAAGTGTCTTAAAATGTGTTCTCATACTTGTCATATGTATATACATAGGTATATATTTACATACGTAGGTAAAATATAATTTTAAAATAGTGTTTTATGTCTTTTTAAATACATATATGTATATATATAAAAAAAAAAAATGTTATTTTGCTAGAAAAATAACTTCACATTTTAAATCAACTTTACTTAACTACTTTTAATATTATTATTTAATTAGTTTGCTTACATTTAATTAATTATAACAATTTCAATTATTCATTTATTAATTCAAATATTATTATTTTTTTTTCATTATTTATTTTGAGAACACTTTGCATAAGAGTTATAACTGTATAATAATAATAAAGCAACAAGATAATCAACACTTTTCATAATGACAGTAATATAATATATATTATTATATATTATTTACAATATATTTCTTCACAAATAAATATTTTGTACAGTATTTCTCTATATAGTATTATATGCTGGCCTAACGTTAATTTAATGACAAAAAAAGGGTCAAGCTCGTGTACCTATAGCTTGGATGATATAGGATGTAAGGATTATAATAATCTAATAAAATAAATATATTATGTTAAACAAATGATAAAGACTAATAGGTATGTTTAAAAAAATATATAAAAAAAAGCTCATAGTACATTGTATGTCTAACTAGACGTGTGTTACCATTAAAACGTGTCTATAAAAACTACTTAAATACTAAAAAAAAACAAATAAACACATTAATATAGGAAATTGTAGGAAATATAAAATTTGAAAATAATTACTTTGAATAGAATTTTTGAATTACATATAATATTATTGATTTTGCGATTCTATGCAGGTGACAAAGTCATTGACCGATTTAATCATTTGGTCCCCATAATTTAAATGTTTATCTAATAAACGTTGTTCAGGAACTTACTGCAATTACAATAAGGGAAAACACTGCAACTAAATATTATATAATTATGACTTTGGTAAGATAACAGTTGTAATTGAAAAAAAATACAACCCATAAATGGTACCTATTTAAAACGTTGGTGGGCATCAAACAAATAATATTTCTTTACTTTTCTAATATTTTGCACGATTGGTATCAGCTTCGAAATGCTGTTGGTAATATAATATAATTACATGACATCATGCATTTAGATATATACCTACCTACCTAAGATGTAAAATGTATAGCTTAATTAGCTTATGACATGTAAATATCTTATGATTAAATTCCTAAAATGAAAAACACGAATACATACTTTACTAAGTAGAAAAAAATGTCCACTTAGTATTCATATATACTTTGTTAATAGGTAATCGTTTAATTCATTCGATTCTGTCATAATTAATTAATCACATGAGGTTGAAGAAATTTTATTTTGAGTTGTAAAAATATGTTTATTAGGCCTGAATCTTACGCGCATTATTAGTAAATTCATCTGTTTATATTATGTGAACCAAAATAATTGCAGTTTCCTGGGTTTTGTAAATTTCACCCTGGTAATTAAAAAAAAAAAAAAATACAATTTATAACTCGATATAATATTGACGTCAGTCTTTGGCGCAGATGAATCTGTTTTTTTTTAAATTCAATCGGAAAAAATCACTTAGATGATCGACTCTTTATTTCTTTCGTTATCATCACAACTACTATCTGCACTACTTCCAACGTCTTTACAAATCTGCATCTCAATTTCAGCAAGCCTGTGGTCCATGTCCCACCGCTGTTGAGTAACTTTTTTGTTGAGATACAAGTTCTCTGTTTCTACAGCTATCAAACGTTCTTGAAGTCTATTAATTTCCGCTTCCAATGCGGACACCATCGTTGCATCTTTACCTACACCTAATGTGTAAAATACTTTATGATTATAACACACACGAAAATTAACAACGTTGGCAATAGTTAACTGAATCGATATTCACCTGAAGTGGTTGCTTGTGGTTTTTGAGCATCTGGAACATGGTGATGGTGGTGATGGTGGTGTTCTTGATCTAGAGAATATTTACTAGACAGAGGGGATTCTAATGTTGCTGCGGCATTTGATCTGTATCATAATAATATAGATTGGTTTTATCGAGGAAGTATATATATATTCGCGTCTTAACTAACCTGAAACTAGGACTTGCGGTAGGACTGAACGAAGTCCTGTTATTGATGTTGCTATTAAATGTAGCCGCTGGCCTTAAAAGACCTTCGCTGGATTGCAACCACATCTCATCTTCTACTTTAATTTGGCTTTCTACGATTCCGGGCGTCGACTTGCATCGCCTTCCGACTAATCCTTTACAAGTAAAGCAGACAATTGTATTACCCAAATAAATTCATGAATAACTCTTCTATACCGTACACATATAGCCAAATAGGTACCTACCCACGTAATTTAGGTAATTCTTAACGTATTCAAACGATTTGTAGTTTTCGACTAACCTTCTAATTTATCGTCTGGACTAGGTTCAGTTTTGTACTTTTCCAGACGTTTGGTAGCTATTGCCTCTAGTCTGATTCTGGCAGTAGGGTATTCTTTGAGCACATCCCACATGTCTTTTTTTGACAAAACGAACAGATCGCTATAGCCTACTGACCGGACTGAAGCGGTTCGCCTATTCCCTGTTCAACATTAAGGGTTATTAACCACACTCATTTACACTGTACTGATGAAAACATTTACCTGCTGTCCCCATATTAAGTATACTGATTTCTCCGAAATATGACCCTGCTCGAAGTACTGCAAGAACCGACTTGCCATCGTCGGTGACCACTTGTAGTTTCCCTCTGCTTACTATGTACATTTCTTTGCCAACTTCCCCTGTTAACGAATCATAATTTAATCATTCCTCCAGTGATGATAATAATACTTAAACACCACAGTGAATTGAAAATTACGGTTTATATGTACCTTTTCTGCAAATATAATCTCCAGGAGAAAACAACACGGGTCTTAATTTCAACACCAGTTCACAGAGGAATCCGGCTTCTGTGTTTTGAAAGATTTCAACCCTTTTCAGCGTGTCCAAGTGTACGTTTATTGCGATCTCAGCTTTTAGTTTATCTGTAAAAGCGATAAATTATACCAGCATATTAATTTTGTTAATGTAAGTGGTAATCTTGTTATAAAAATTAAAAACCAGGACATGACATTGTAAGTGTAAGTATAAATATTATCGTTTTCTCAAACCGTTTTCCTTCTTGCTATTACTGTGTACAAGGTTATTCAACGTTGTATATTCTAATATTAAAACACTTTATATTATATTGTATTTTAGCAGTTATATAACAAAACGTGATGTTACTTTTTCACACCATACGAATTTTAATTAAAAACAGAATAATGCATTTAATAACTACCCGGTAAACAGCTAATGGCTTTTTCTTCGTCTGAACATTTTTGCGTTAACCAGAGGTAGTCAAACCATTTAATCACTTTGGTCTGCAAGTGATTCGGTACTCTTCTCATTCGCATGTACGTTTTAACACCGTCCAATTTCGCTAAAAAATAACAATTGTAATCAAAATATATATTATAATTGAAAAAAAAAATGCCATTTTACGTTTATATGTAATTCGTAATTAAATAAAAATTTGACTGACATATCTATTTGACAATATTATTATATTATCGTACACTTTACAGAATGAGCTCAGTTAGCTGCATTTTGATAATTATTACGACAAAATAAAGCTACCCTAGTCTAATATTAATAAAATATAATATAGTAAAGTATACAAGAATATAATCAATAAACATAAGCGGAATGCATCAAGTAGGTAAAGACATATAATTGTTTGTAACTTTTGTTTACTTTAAGCACCATTAATGCAGGGATACGAGCATCATGCTTGATAACTAATTGGGTATTATTATATCATATGTCTAATATATGAATAGTTCATACACGAGACAAGAGAAGATAAATAATATAATATGTATGACATTGTATGTTGTATGTGTAAATTGTGTATATCTATTTATTGACATATGCTTTCGCATTCAAAATATTAGTTTACATATAATAATGATTACAACTTTCCTGTTGTGCAAATAAAAGGATTACATAATAAAGACCGTCATCCAATTTAGTTAAATACCTTCTTTAAGTTTTATGTAAATTGCAATAATTATTTAAAATACAATTTTAACTATATACATCTAGTAGTCTATCTACCTATATGTTTTATATGCTTTATTCAATTCAGAAAAAGAAACAACTTAATAATATTCTTTAATAAAATAGGTAATATACAGGTGAATTTTTTAACAGCACAGACACACCTTATTTTAAGAAAAATAATTTTTTTTCTAATTTTATTTATGGATAAATTATCAATAAAGAAAACTAGGTATTTGAACAATATTTGTGTGAACAATATCAACATTTTTTTAATGGTATTTGAAATAAAAAGTATGGATTGTTACCTATTTTAAATAAATCTTGTTACCTATTTGGAAAATAAATCTGTTACACCTATATGTGTGTGAAAATATAGTGTAAGCATAAAGCTAATTTAAAATATTAAAACCGCACCCCTTTTTATTTTCCTAAATGAAAACGTCATTAAAAATGTATTCTTTAGAAAAAAATATTGTTCACTATAAAATAATTACTCTGGCTAATTCGTATTTTATGGAAATCATAAGCCTAGGGTATCGTTTTTACGAGTAGAATAATATACAATAGTTTTCAGGTAGTCATCCTGTCGACCAAATAAAAAGTAGAACATATTAACCATCCAGAATACAGACAAATTCGATATCTACAGTTAAATGAAAAGCATATAAACCATAAGAAAAACAATAATGAGGCTCAGGCGCTATTTGACCGAATAATAAGACAAAATTCACTAAAAGCATATTATTATTGTTTAGTTTTGAATACCACACAACTGCAAAAATCAAAATCAACCCGAATCATAGAGACAACCAGCTGGTAATATATTTTAGTGATTTAGAAAATAAGTGAAACTGTCAGTTTTACTCAACATATAAGGTGGGTAACATTATAAAAGTAAAGTCTAGTTAGCAAACACTAAATGAAAAAAATATAACGAGTAGATAGGTAGAAATATTGGACGACAGATCGAAAGAAATACATTTAAAAATAATAATTGAATAGTTTTGTAAACATTACATGTCTTTACTTACATTGAGCAGTACCATCTGCAAAATAAAATTACAGTCATATTATGAATAAAAAAAAACAATTGATTCTGTGTGTAACATTGATATTTTTATAGGAATAGGTATAATTCCTGTTATTGTTTAAGTTCTATGAATTGAGTTTTAGATGAAAATCTATCCATCTAAAGTTATTACGTTAGCTAACTAATCCATTTTAAAATATCTTTTTACTATTGTTTGAAAACAAACAATATATTTGCTTATTTTCTATAGGCAATAACTTATTTTTAATAACTACCAACAAATACATTTGAATTCGTGTGTTAAAAAATATATTTTTTAATTTATTATAATATACTCATTTGTTAATACTTAATGCAGGCATCTATAGATCCTATTATATTGTCACTACCTATATCTATTCTATTTAAGTAATAATATGAAAGGTTTGATAATTATTGCACTTGTGTAGTCGACCATTATGTTTTGATTGTAACTATTACCTCAAAATTTTTGAGAATCGTAACATTATTAACATGAACATTTAACATTTTTTTTTTCAAATGTTTTCTTTATTAAACAAAACTGCAAGAAAATATAAGCCCTATCGGCTCTGAATGATTATTTCGATCGAATCTCCGAAACACGATACCCATAGTAATAACACAGACACACTCGGAGTCGTGAACATCGCTCGTCTGTTAAGCTCTCTGAATGCACCGTTTTTGCGATCGAAAAGCTAACGAATACCGGGGATAACACCGGGTTATTAACGATGTTCTTGCTCTCGCTGGGAGGTTGTGTAACACGCATATAGTAGTAGAATAAATAGCGAGCGTGTGTGTACAAAAAAATAAGTAACTGAAGGGGAAAAAAGAAACAAAATACAAACACAAAATCAATAAACTCTCCGCTGCAGAGGTTTACCTTAATTCAAAATCGTGTTGTGTGCGAAACGTTTCTTACCGCCACCGTCGCCACGAATAACTATATATGAATTCCGTCGCCACACGAGCGACTTAATCTAGTTTTATTATGTATATTGTAGTGTGATGGGTACAGTATACTACAACGAACACACACACACATATATATATATATGCATGTGTAGTGTGTGTGTGTGTGTAAACCGGGTGTACGCACGGATTAAAATCAAGATTTATAGGGCCTCCTGCAGTTAGAGCCGTGTGGCTTTTGCCTACACGACCGAATCATCTAAACTATCATTCTGTGCCTTTTGGATACGATGCGTTTGGAATAAAATATTATTATTATAACTACCGATAATAACGATGTAATATAATAAACAATAGTAGCCCTCGAGGTATACGCTAGAACTGCAGTTAGACCACCGTTTAATCTCCGTAAAATATGCATATCACTGCAGCAGAACAATATTATGGCCACATTCGAGGAGAAAAAACCTACACGGTTAGTAGAAAAGAAATAGGTGGTAATTCATCTATATATTTATATGAGCATATACTATTGGAAACTAAAAAGCCGATCAGAAAGTTTCTCACTTGTCCACTTTGCAGATTCATCTTTTTCAAATATTAAGAAGGCATTTGCCTCCAAAAATGAGATACAATTTTCCTCAACTGTCCATTTCTTCAAAAATCTATCTAGTAATCTTTCTATCAAGTAATGGTCTAGTAAAATCAATCAATCTAGACCATTTCCGTTTTTGTGGGTGTATCATAGGAACCATCATCAGAATTTCCGGTAGTTGCTGAGCAATTTGACAAAAGTATGTCTTAATCTTAATCAGATTTACGACATTATCGACTTCTAGAGCCTTACTATTTCTTAACAATACAGTGCTCAACAGTACAACATTAGTCACTACAACAGTTAAGGTGCATAATGTAATAACGGTAATTTTTATTAAATTAATTTTAATATTTGAAGGAAAAATAAACAGTATTAGCCCAAAATATGTTTTTTGTCGATAAATATGAAAAGTGGAGGACAGTGGTATCTGGAGGAAAATGGTCGCAGAGAAAGTAAGCAAATTATACTTAACGGCAGATAAGAAAACCAAAGACAAAATTAAATTAAATAAAAACAATATATTACCCAGAACTTAAAATAAATTAGAAACAATAATAATGAACCACCTAAGTATAGGACGTCGTACATTCTTACACACAGCTACTTGATGACCTAATAAGAAACATTCACACGAGTATCGCATTTAGAGCCAAATACATACTATCAATCATTAACACATTACCAATGAATTCCGTAAGCACGAGGAAACAAGAATAGACGACACTATAAACACGGATATATCCTATTCAACAGCAATAAATTGAAGTTCTTCAAAATATCAAATATTTATAATTTAATATTATTTATAACACAAAAAAAAAATTCAATAAAAATCATTGAATCAAACCACGTTAATTACGAAAAAATTGTTTGAGATACTAATATGTACTATGTCCAATGTTTCTACCAATATGTTGCATAAAGGATCAAGATTAAATATAATGTTATTATATGAACACAATTTTAGTTGTATTATTGATATATAATTTTGTGGATGTGTATTTTATAAAACTGTGTATTATATTCTTGTTTTATTTATTTCACTGTGATACTAGGTACCTGGTACAATGTATCAATTTAACTGAGATTTAAAGTCTGGTAAAATGAATAATTTCAACCACTAATGATAAATTCTTTGAATTAAAAAATAACCAGGTAGGTACTTATAAAGAATTTAATAATTGGTACCTAAGAATTTACACAAACCATTCACATAAATGTTACCTACTGAAAAAAATGTGGATTATTATTATAAATTATGATTTTATGGAGTGGTTGTTTGGAATTATATAGACATTATTAAAATATTTAGGTATTGTACTGAAGGATAATATTGTTGTACTTACACTACATTTTTACTGCGAGGGACACACAGCGTGTGTAATTCATTCTCATTAGTGTAGTTAAATGATAAATTATTAGGAGAATACAATTATATGTTATTGGATGTTATATTATATATTATGATTGGATGTTATATTGGATGTAATGTATTTACCTACTAAGTAATATTATTGTTTTGCTTTATTGGTGAATTAAGTTACTTTAAGCAATCATTTCTCGCCATAAGTCCAAACGATAATCTATATTAATAAATATATCTATATTAATAAACAAATTATTAGAAATATTACTATAATTCTATAATATCTAGGTACTATACATATTATTTTGCTTCCGATATGGCTGTATAATATTATTACTATTATAATAAGGAATAAATGTGTGTGCAAAGTTATATATTTATTATAATGTGTTCAAGGTTTAAAATAAAATATACGTTTGTGTACACGTCACCGTTTTGCAATTGAAAATATTACGAACAATTCTATTGTAAATATAATAAAATGAGCGTTTATAGTTTTTATAATTTTTCAAGCGTTTCATTTGGAAAAAAAAACATTTTATGATCAGTGTGCTTGGAAATACGAAAATGATTAAAAGCTCTTGGAAACCCTTTTGCGGACCATTAAGCCTCAACTTTTATAATGCGTTTTTGTGACGACGATCATTACTTAGCCTCACATTAATGGGCTCTAATATAGAAAACTTATCGTTTTTTGAGCACAGTATCTATACTTTGTAATGAGAATTAATCACGCAAATTTAATTTTTAGTTTTACAATATTTATTGATGAAATTTACATTTTTAATAAAAATGAAAGGTTTTATACGTTTATAAAGACAATAAGTAACCTATTTTTGTATTCATAAGTATATCAAGTATGAAGTACAACATGATTTTAATTTTAACGGTTGAATGTTTATAATTTTTGTTTTTATATTATGCTTTAAATGTTGGAATGTATATAATAGTAGGTATAGGGTGTTTACTTACGCTGCGTTCATTATTGTATATTTGTGGCTCGTGTAATGGCTATAATTGTTAATTTTTAATAAAAGAAAATACTGTCATAAATACATTTTCAAGGAATATGTGCTTGTAATATTACATCTAGATAACTTAAATCAACTAAAAATCATTTTAGAAGTTGATCACAATTTCTGGTTGGAAATAATTGGTCTGTATGATATGTATTTATATAATGAGATTTATATTATCATACAATTGTCAAGTTACTATATAAAATAAAATAAAAAAAATCAACAGTTATCTGTCAAAACAAAATATTCAAGAAGCCGATTAACGTAGTCGAGCTTAAAATACGCCACTGATTATATGTATACTGCAGTAAAAGGTATAAAATGTTGGGTAGAGTAATTGTTACTGTACCTTGGAATTCTTTGCGGCCCGCACTCACGCTCACCACTATACTTGCCACGTGGCCGAGCACGGTTGCAAACAGTAGAAGACCGAACAGCAACTGACATATGACGAACGCGTACTCGCCATTGCTCCTGGGTTTGGGCAGGTCACCGATGGTGGTCAAAGCCAGCGTGCACCAGTAGTAGCTCTGCAGGTACCGCTTGACCGTGTCCGTCTCCTCGGTGTCCGAGTCCGTGTATACCCAGTTTTTGCTACCGAACCCGTTGTTCTTGTAGATGATGTGGTACAGGCACCCGTTCCAGTGAAATATCACCAACAGGTAGTGGATGAGGCTGCCGGATCGGATGAGGTTGGGGTAATTGGTGTGCCGCTCGGTCCGGTCCATGAACGCCCAGAACCGGTAGATCTTCACTATCCGAAACGATCGGAGGATGGAGTTGAACCCTATGGACAGGTACAGGAAGTCCAACGGCAACAGGCACAGGCAGTCTATGTAGAACGTAGTCGAGTTCATGTAATGGTTGCGCAGTTTGGCGGCATCCGTCTGCAGCACGCCATCCTCCAGGTAACCCGTGCGGAAGTGAAATAATATGTCGATCACGTAAAGCAGATCACATATATAGTCCAAACAAAACCACACCACTATCGTGTTCCCTGTGACAAACATTTTTATTGTTGTTATTGTTTTGATAGGCATATATTATACGTCATTGCGGTATTATAATATTATAACAATATGACTGATATACGTTTGATATTAAAGGAACGGCGGAACACTAATGATTTCTGTCACCTGATCATGGACACCTGTTATACATGGCATGTTTATAACGTATATAGAATGCGTATCTATCAATTGGAAATCAAGGGATCAAAACTTTACGGTTACACATGAACATGTCTATAACGATATTTGCATCAAATACAATATTTACGGTTCAATAAAATGAAAATCCACTGGAAACAAGTCGGCACTGAAAGTACCTAGTAATATATGGTTTGATCTTTTACTTTTACAAATGTTGAATTAAATGTCAAATCGAAATTCAAGTTATGCAATTAGTTTAAAGAAGATCGGTATTATTCCACCTTTTCAGTTAAACTTTTGACATATTCTTGACAGGTTACATACTAGAACGGGTGAGATAAAAAAAAAACTAAAGAGAGAATGGCTTCCGAATTGATCTTTAATATAATACACATCATGTTTTATTAGGTATTACATTTTTCAGTGACACTGGTTGAACGATAAATACATTATTGTTTATATAATCAAATACATAGATATTTAATATAAATATGTATATACAGTTATAGTATCAGTGGCGTACACATGGAGGGCGGGTTGGGGGTATTTTGGTATTTACTTACTATATGTACCTATAGATGTATAATAATTAATAACATAAAGAAAATATTTTGATATAATATATTATGCATATAATTTTTCTCTCATATAACCCCTCCCATTTAAAACATCTGTGTATGCCACTGAGTAGTAAGGTAGGTATTCAGTATTCAACTTTATCAATGCATAATAGTTAGTATTTCGTTAATACACGTTTTGATTACAGAAGTTGGAACAAGACATAATGTTATAATATATATTATTATTATTTTTTTTTTTGCTCATTATTTGATTGGCATGTCATTTATGGACATGAATTTCCCAAGTGCATAATCGGTTCCCCGCTGAGATATTATTTTGGTTATTAGATAATCGTATTTTTTTTTGGTCTTACAAATCTAAGCCTCACTCTGTCTAAAATGAAGTCTAGTGTTCCAATGAAAAACTTTTGTAAAATGTATTTTGTGTTAAGAATAAGTGTTAGCAGTGTTTCAATAAAATACACTCATGTGTAATGCGTATCGAACAGGCAAATATTCTACAGCCGTTACCAATCTACGTATCGTATACCTACGCATCCGAACGTCGATTCGACCCATTTTTTGAACACAACATTTGTCCATTACGGTTTTATAAAAATATTTTTGTCCTTCACTAAATTTGTTCAACGTGTAAGTGACATTTTTTAAAACTATTCCTCATACACCATGGCGATGGACAATTATGGTGACTTACTGTTGATTTCGCTGAACGCGAACCGATATATGATCACCCAGAAGTTGTAGAGGAATGCCATGGACACGACCATGTTCCAGTAGTAGCAGAGCTGTCCGGCGGGGTCGAACACAAACGACCACCGTATGCCCTTGACGCGGTCGGACGTCCGGTCTCTGTACTGCCGGGGACCGCCGTTCTTCTGCCGGCCGCCGTCGAAGCAGATGGAACCGCGGGCGTTGTTATACGACGCCCTACCAGTCGTGGTGCTGCCTCCACCAGCGCCGTCGGCTCCACCACCGCCACTTGACGCCGCCGCCGCCGCTGCACCGGAAGCACTTCCACTTCCTGCGGTACCCCCATCACCGCCCCCGCTACCACCGTCGCCCGCCCCGGCGCCGGCGCCATCAAAGTTGACCCGGCTCGGACGGTGCTGGCCGGACGACGATTTGCCGCCCGCCTTGGCCGCTATGTCCGAATCCGAGCTGGCTATGCCACCTGGCAGACAACTGCTAGTCTGGTTTGTGTACACCGGCGTCAACGAGTCTCTGGAGTGTGAGAAACAGGTCTGCGTAAAAATAATGGGTAAATAATTAAAACAAATCTGATATTATCTTATATCTAGTCGTGATATGAAAAGGGGCAAATGTATGTGACTGTTTGGACGTGCTGTCACTTAGAGGCAGCTGTTGGGATGCCAAAAAATAACGTACCGATCCACCCATTGAAAAAAAATACTTAGCATGAATTTTCACGACTATTTTTTAGAATTTGTTCGATCAGTATTTACGAGTTAGTTCTTTGAGTACAACTTTAAGTATTAAATTAATAAGGCGTATTATTATGACCGATCCCTAATAATAAAATAAACAATTCGTAATATTTAATTTTTATTCGTTCACTAGTAACAAATAATTTAATAGCTACCTAACATTACGTTATAATGTACACTAGGTATCATTTAACAATTACAATGTATAAATAAAATGATTTATAATTTCGATTATTATGGGGCATGGTGTGGCTCGGTGCTTGTCCTCAGGCACAAACGTGTTCTGAGGTCAAGTAATGGGTGACCACCCGGGTTTTTAGTGACGAATCCTCACCCCCTACATACACGTGTTCCTCAACCAACAGTAACCCTCTTACAAAATGCTAATAATAGTTCACGACGCTTAAGATCAATTATAAAAAAAAAAAAATTGATTATTGGAAAATGTGTTTCATAGTATTAAAGTGTTAATATAAGCCACGGGGCTCTGGATCACTGAGTGTGAATTTTTAATAGTTGGGTTTTCATAACTGTGTGTCGTTGGGAAACTCTTTTGGACTATCAGTTTCATCGCGATCTAATATAGTATTAATATGTGTCTATCAATCTTCATAATGTTGACCTGTTTAAAGATTTCTTTTTCATGTTTTCTAGCTGAAAGTGACTATTTTATATTAAGGTAGTATAACCCTTTCAAGGAATTTAAATTAATTTTCGCTACTTGCACAAAGTTATCAAAGACAAACCAATTTACATTTTTTTGAAGAACGCAAAAAGTTTGATAAGGCATAATCACTTCTCAAAGTGTGTTGGTTCCGATGTCAGTATTCTTACTAATTTTACTATTACAAAGAGAATAACAAAGAGTGAGTAATTTTTTTCTTGTACCTCGTAATAATTCAATACATTTTTTTTTTAAACTCCACGTTTAATAATGAAAACTATAATTATACACTTTATAGTTCCATTAGAAGAAAACCGAAGGATATCATTGTTTCTGAATTAATTATTAAATAATACATATTATATGCCAACGCGTTTAATATTTTTTGATATTAGGATTTTACTTTATAGAAAAACATTTTTACATAATAATCTGAAATATTACAAGTTACAACCGATACATAATTTAATTCCAGTATAGTGGTTTAAAGTTTCCGCAATAACCTTCGTTACTAAACAGTAATTATAAGTAGACTCAATATTTGAAATGAGGTATGTGTAAATTAACCCTAATGGTTAAATACAATATTATTAAATATAGAAACGTAATCAGCTTATTCACCATGTTTGAACTTTCGATACATACAAATCTCATTCAATAACAATTTAACGATACCTCTTGATATTAATTAGTTACGTAAACCCGCTAATTTCGCATTAACATAATTAATCAGTAAGTTATAATTACTACTCGTAAGATAATAATAGCACAAAAAACGTCAATGTTTTAATTATCTTATTTAAATTATCCGGTTGGATATAATATAGTTAGAAGCATAAAATAATATTTCATTTTTACACGAAGAATACAAATTATTGTTATATTATTATTATCGCAGGTATAATATTGTTTACATACCTACATTAATACCTACGATTATAATCTGTGGAAAATAAACTCTTTTAGTAGGTTGGTGGTATATATACGATGAATTCAAGTCGGAGTTGATTCACATTTGATATTTTTGTTAAGTAATTTATCTTTGCCAATACAAATATCCCGAGACAAAAATAATTGTATTGAACAAATAAATAATAACACATCTATGTTTTTATTTGAGTGGTCAACAAGAATAGCAGCTCTTAATGGTATCCAGAGAGTGAGTTCACAGGGAGAATTCATTTCAACTCCCTACACAACTCATTCTAGAAGTTATTCGGGCACGTACGTACAGCATCGTGTTCAGTTGTGGTGGAAAACGTGGTCTAGTAACTTATAAAATACATCTATTGTTCTCTTTTTCCCCCATAAAATGAAGATTTCCGGATTAGATTCGATTTAATCGCCAACACTATATAGTCTCTGGTCAAATGCAACTTGACTGCGAATAAAACAATATTGTTTCTGAGAAGGTACAGAATAAACACCAACCGTTTATTAATGTAAAATTGTAAAATTTTTAATTCCGTCAGTTTTAAAATAAGATCCATATTGTATTCAAACTTTTCAAACACGATAATTTAAGTTCTGAGCTAAATGAATCTTCCAATATAAGATAACATTAGTGTGTACCTATTACAGTACTTAAATTTTGTTATTAGCTCATATTTAAATAAGTCCAAGTCGATAATGGCGTAATGTAACTAATTAGTAGACTTAGGGGATGTTCTCTAATGTTCATGTAATATTGTAATAATTAATCGAAATTGTGTTGATTATCAAATTTCTTTTTTTATTTTCAAATAATACTTTCCAATAATACATTTTAAACCAATTTAGAAATTAAAATATTATAAAACTCAAAATATAAATATTAACTGAAAACGATAGAACTTACTATATCTGCTACTGACAATTTAATTAATATTTACCATAGTCCATAAAACAAACATACAGTTATGTTTTGCATTGATTTAATATACAATTTGTATTTTATAACCATTAAATGGTAGAAAAAATAATATTTAATAATTTACTGACATAAAAATATGATTGTATTTAGATTAAAAATATTATTATTTATTTGTTGATGAATAGGTTTACGATGAACTTCGACGATCGATTTTTGAAGAATACATTTTTTCTGATAGTTATTAATTATTATATTAATTTACTTTGTATAACTTGTAAATAGTATAGTTAATAACTATCAAAAAAAATAATTTTAAATAACTAGAGTGCATTTCTTTAAGTATTTACATAAATATTTAGAGTGGTTGGATATATACTTATTATTTATAAAAAAAAAATCGTAAAAAGTGATTAAACTGACCTGAGGTGGTTTTCGACTTACGCCGAATCTACATCCTACCAAGTCGAGTAAGCTTTGTCGGCCAGCAGAGAGCCTAAGCGATTCGACACTGGATTTAGTACCGAATCTTACTGGACTCCCAGTATCTAATCTCGTGCCAGATATGCTAAGTCGTTCGCCAATCCGCCCTGTGCTGGTGATTGTTCCTGAAAAAGTGAAAACCAATTTTTAGAAATGACATAAAAATGATCAATTTATTACAGAGTTGGAAGTGGTATAATAGCAAGTCTCGTTATATCATTATTTAAATATAAGCTAAACAATTATTAAGTACCATTACATTCAAATAACTATTCATCAACAAATGCCCCTTGGCAATTAATTCTCTACCGATTAATATACTTAATAATTTATTTTGTACATTGCATTATATTGCACTTTTAAAACGGCGTTGAAAATAGATACCTGCCTATATTTAAGTTTTTAATCATATATTATACATTATATTATTAGATTATTTTGCAAAAATCTTTAGAGATTCCAAAATTATTTATCAATTTATATTTTGCGTGAAAAAAAAAGAAATTCATTGAAAAAATTGTATTTATTCTGAAGAAAGATGGAAAGGATTCATATTTATTGCCAGTCGTTTTGACGGTCTGGAAAAACAAACGGATATGGTTTACGACCGTAACGTTTTGGACCCTTCCGGCCAAACGTTATTATTTGCGCTTTTTGCTATTTATCATGCTTTTTTTTTAACTTTGATCCTATGTTGTTTTTCCCCTCCGCCCTAGTTTGTAATGTGATTTTTTTGTAGTAAGGGGAGGGGGGGGGGTGGAAAGAGAATTGTATAACAAATAATATAAAAGAGGAAATTGATCCAAAACAGAAATGAAAAATGCATATGTCTTTTTTTAAATCCAAGGCTTCATAAATGCTAAGATCATTTTAAACACAGAAAAATTATTATAATTTAAAGAATGTGTAGTCATCTATAAAACACAAAATTAAATCAATAATCTTTTAAGGGAAAAATTGTTGACACAATTGTTTCATAATAAAATTATTATTACAATAGACTTATTTAATAAATAATAATTAATAACCAAAATATAATAACTATATAAAAGACCGGGATCACACGTCGGCTGTTAGTTGTCGAGAAGGTTTTGAGCATATCTGGTCATTTAGTAGGTCATTCACTTTAGAATTATTGTATACGAACAAACGATAATGAATGATGGTACCTATAACAGGTGGACATGCACATATTTCTAAGGATATTTTATGTTGGATTATAATTACATTATTATTAGTATTTTTTCAATTAGATAATATTTTGAACTAATTTTTGACAAAAACATGACAATAAATCAACTAGGGTATACATTTATATACCACATCATCATAATATGGAGTATACTATTAGTATAAAATAATATTTAGACTGCAAGTCTAGACGATAAAGGAGTAGTACGATAAATGTTCATTTGAATTAGAATAATATAGCTATAGAGACAATGAACGCTTTATAAAAAATGTGAGTCACTGCAGTCATTTATTAATTTGCATTAAGGGGAAATAGAAAGAAGCCTTCTTAGCTATATTTTCTGCGGCAGGTTGGAATTACTGAGATTGATAGTCGGCCCGAGTATATCTTTGCGTTTTAGCCTTTGGGACATTTACAAACTGCCAAAAGAATTATGCAGAAAATGCACGAGATATCAAAGTCCCTATCGCAACCCTCTGCCAACAAAATCCTTACATATAAAGAGAAAATCCGTTACGGTTAACAAAATGAGAAACCGTTGCCAAGACGATGTACTGCATAAGATAACACGCTTTAAATGTGTTCAAGTATAAAGCAATAAGAATACATTTTAATGAGTATTAGCAAAGACACGCTCATTTAGTCAAGTATAACTGTAGATTATAATATTATATAAAAACAAATATCATAAATAAGCATTTGATTTTATACAATATACATGTGTCACTAAACTCGCATTAACATAAATACAATTTAAAAAAGTTGATAAAATAAACATTTTAGGATAAAAACAGTAATTTATTTTAAATCGTATTTTTATTTCAGGAAACATTTGTTGGGCAGATTGTAAAATGAGTTATTTATAACTTATAAGGTATTAGTAAGTAACATAAGTAAAAGTATTTGAATAATTTTAATAATAGATAAATAAATAAATAAACAGTCAAAATATATAAAAAGAATAGCTATGTTATTTGAAAGTATAATCTTATAACTATTAAGTAATAACCAAACCTATTGGTTAGGTACATTTTTAATAATTTATTAATTTAAAAAAATATATTTATCAAATTTGTATATTTAAATTCTGTAATCCATCTATTTATTGATTTTTTTTTTTAATTTCTGAATTTAACAAAATGACGAACATTATTTTATTATTATTCTTTTCATTGTAATTTGTAATATAGACCATAAAGAACATATTATTATCATAAACACTTTGGTATTTATTTTACAAGTCGTTCGTTAAACTTTTAGTACCTTTGAAATTTTACTAAATACAGACAGTATCTTATATTAATCCTTAAAATAAAATTGATGTGACCCCATTCTTATTTAAAAAATATATTTAAATTACTAAAAACGTGTTTGAATAAGGAATAATATGACTATTTTCTCCACTATTTTAGTTTTTAATGTAATGTATATCATCGTCATCTGTAGTTGATTTCTGTGTTTTATAATCGATTGCAGTTGATGATTTGCCATATTATCGCTTTTGGTTGTTTCAAAAATATTTTTACCCTTTTCGACAACACATATATTTATATTTCCCTGTTCATATCTATCCCTACGTATTTCGTATTCACAACATATTCAATTATTGTCCTTTCTTTGTGCATAGTAACAAAATTTTCGATATCGTGAATGGAAAATAATACAGACGGTGAGCAAAATAAATTGAAATCCAGTGGTGGACGATAGGTTGGCTGTGGTATAAAGTATATTATACTGGTATCTGGCATCTGCTACCGGCCGTGGAAGCATGTGGGGCGTGAGAATGCGATCTACGAGTCGGGTCTTGGGAGGGAGCATAGACTTAGAGGTTTTCGTTTAATAACAGTAGTATACTTAATAAGAACAACTCAAAAACAAATCATCCAAACACCAAACACAACCCACTGATATCAGATATGATGATTTCGTATTGCTGCAGCGTGTGTTGTTCAATTTATTACCAACATTGTCATCATCGTTGTCGTCGTTTTCGTCGTCGTACGGACATAATAATATTGTTTGCACTATGCAGACTATAGAAGATTTCAACTGGATAACTTTCTACCAGCTTATATTTATTACGAGCCAAGTCTTCACCAGCCATTCATATAGCTAGACAAGTGAGAATTCGTCACCAACATTTTGTATTATTAAAAAAAGGGTCATATTTTATTCAATCGTTATACTACGCTGTTTATAGTATTTTTCCATGTCGTGGATTTATTTCTCGTCTAGGAGACATATATACCTTCCTATAAGGATAATATATCAAGGAGATAATTTATTTTGAATCCATCATTTTATTAAAAAACACTGTTAGAGACGGTTTTCTGTTCCAATCAATAAACAGTGTGTCCTATTTTATAAAATGGACGCGATCCTGTCTTGGTTTTCTACCTTAATAGACCTATGTCCTATATACTTCACCAACTATTCTTCTGAAGATATATTTGAATTCTTTATGATATTTACTTGTAAACGACTTTCTTACATTTTTAATTCATATTTTTACTTTAATATCATTAACATTTAACATATTTTGAATACTAAGAGATTTAAAATGCTTATGATATTTTAGAAAAAATTAATTACAAAATTTAAGAAAGTCGTTTTCGAGTAAATGTCATGACAAATTCAATTATATTTTCAGAAACTGTATTGAATAAAATATAGATTAATTGATACGATTGGCAAAAGATTGATACTTTTGACCAAAAAAAAAAAAATTAATACACAATTGTCATACTCACAAACAGTAATGATTACTTACTACACATTTACACGATCTGCATGCACGCACATAAAAAATTGTCTATAATAAACTTCTTAAAAACGGTCGGTATCGAATCACTTTAAAGATAACGTGTGCATCAGTGAAGAATATTCTATAATATTTGCCTATAGATTCATTTAGATACAATTCAAATTATGTAAATCAACGTCAACAACTTCGTTTTTGACTCATTTTAATACAACAACTTCTAACAAAATATTTGTACATTTCGTTTGACGTATTTTGTTGTTATGGGTCTAATTATTTGTAATTCAAGAACCCTAATAGCCTATATTAATTATTATATTCATCAATTATCGGATACTGGTTAATACTTATTGGCAATAACTTATAACTCAAGTGGCTATGCCCTATTATTTTTAGTAATTACTAATTACTATCATGACTTTGTTAAAAAATATTGGAAATGTTCACATAAATAAATTCTATTTATTTATGGAACTTTAAATTGTACTAATACACCCTAAGAGTAATATTGCAAACCGCAGGGATCCACTCAGAATCTTTTTTGAATCCAATGATTTATGGTTGTCAAAAATGTAAAATAATAATTAATAGTACACCACTATCCTGATATAAACTGATAGAAAATAGACTATTCTGTATGATAAGATATTTTTTGTACTCAATATAGCTACATTATTACAATTTGAATACTATTTTTGATAAATTTAATGGTATACATTATACCAGTTTAGATATTCTCAGTTGGGATATAACACTTTTAGTGCTACTGAGTTCCTCAGAAAAAACCGTCACTCCACTGACTACAACAATTTTGTCATATTTATAATTTTTAGATTCAGAGTGGAACGATGAATGTATTGATTTTACAATGATGTGTGTTTTATTTTTTTATTTTTTTGTCTGTGTACACGATAAGTGTTCGATAATGCTTCGATTTTCAACTTTAGTATCTTGTCCGATTGGAAAGTGAATATTGTTAGTGCATTGGGGTTTTTCAAAAATGCCAAGAAAAACAAAAGACAAATTAAGGAAAAATGGGAATTTAAAATTGAATAATTATTTTGTAGTTAAAAATTTATAAAATGTTCAAATTTTATATCTAAGGATTGAAAATTTAAAACAAGATTCCACATAAGTAGTTAGACTGACATACCGTCTCCTCTCAGAATCGT